GACCTCAAGAATGAATTGATATATAGTTTGACTGATACGTAAGCGCAACACATCACAAATGTTGGTAGAAAGACCTGAAATCCAGCAGCGGCCTAACCAACTTGTTGTGTTCAAGTGACAACTCAACCAGTCCAACACATTGTCGCAACTCAACTAATCAGGTTTCCAAAGCACAAAAAATAAATGTCAATATAATGAATTTGTATTTGCATTGAGAACCATATATGATATATGTAATCTATTACTACTTGTGAATGCAGTTCCAGGCTTACCGGGGACAGAGACCAACATGTTGCAGTCAGCAGCTAGAACTTTCAAATTCTTCAGCTCACCAAGCTCAGACGGCAAGGTTGATAGCTTGTTGTTGTCAAGGTAAAGCCTTTCAAGAAGAGGCAGTTTGCTTATCTCTACAGGCAATCCCTGTGGATGGTACACCATAAGATACTGGTTGGTCTAACATACTAACCCCAGAAGCAAAAAACCGTTCAGTTAAGTAATAGACTAATTTATATAGTCATGGTACATAAGCATCAGGATTCTACTCTTTGCCCTCATTTTTCATTCTCTGACACTTCTTCAAAAATAAAAGAAATACATAACCCTGTTTCCCTGTACATTATATCTTGAAATTATAAGACTTGATGAATTTAGTACTATCTTGAATTAGATCAATACTAAATGGTCGATTTATTTCTTCACCCAGCAAAAGTTCAAAGTCTTAAGATTTTTACTTCTTCTACTGTAAGAATCAGAAAGCTGAAAAACGCTCCCCTCTATTTTCATACTTTAGTTCATCAGTTGAGAGTACTCAGTCACCAAGCTACTTTAACATCAGAAATAGCTTATTAGACCCCTAGAGCCATATGAGTGAGAAGTGATTCCAGAGAAGGTGTTAAAGCATCCTAGTACAATGAGCAAATGTAGGCAAAAGGAACTCACTGTTAGTCCAATGCCTGAGAGGCTGACAACAGTGACACTCCTCCAATGCTCAGCATAACCCACTGTAGCTTCCCCAGCAACACCTGGACCGCCTCCATTAGAGAAATTTGACCTCATCAGCTTTAATAGCACGCCCATTCCATCAATCTGTTGGCCTGAACCGCCAGTTCTCCACATTATCACCCCTTTCAACGGATCTCTCCTCTTCATCACCCTCATTTCCACCCTCAACTCCCCCTCTCCGCCCCTTTCACTATTTCCCTCACTGCTCCTTTCCTTCAATTCAATCTCGACAGTGTCCTGCGGGGAAGGTAGCGCCACCATGACCTGGGACTGAAGCTTCAACGCCACCTGATCCTCATCATCACCGGCATTCCAATCCAGCTCAACTCTAAACCCTAAATGCTGATTATCCTGCAGGTCCTGAAACGACGCCGTGGGAGATGCGGAAAACGGCGAGACTGCAGAGGACGATCGCGATGATGTCGGTGTGGTTTCATCTAGGAAATCGTCGGTGCCGTAGCTCAAAGTCAGGTGAAAGACGTCCGAGGGACGTTTCCACCCCAAACCCCATGACATTGAGAAATCACAGTCTTACGTCGTGGGGATTATGATGAAATGACAGCAATCGGATCAAATGAGATCGGAGAATGAGAATCGGAATTGTAGATTTATAGAAAAAAGGAAGTGATCGATCAGATGTGTTGGCATACAGTATATAGATGATGATATTAGTGCATGGCAAAGTATATAGAGATATCTGATCATGGAGTCTTTCTACTGAGTTGAGTTCATCTCTCTGTGTTGTTTTTATCCCATGTACGGAGTTGGGATGGGACGGGCCGGACGGTTTCTGATTCAAACGGAGAGCAGGTACAAGACTACAAGCCTCCAAGGTAGTCGTGTTCACTTTTGACTAAAATAACATTTTTCTTTTACAAGGATATGCAAAAAAATAATCTTTGTTTTTTTTGAGAAAATTGTTAAATAAATTATCATACGGAGTAAAAACATTCCAACTAAATCTTTGTATTTCAAAATCAATCAATTGAATGCCGGAGATTGAGTACTAGAGAGAACGCCGGAGTCTGGCATCCCTCCTACTGTCCTACATTCGATGTACGTATACCTCACCCAATTAAGAAAAGATAACTCATTTAATTAATATAGCCTAATTTTTTTTGAGATATTACCCGAAATAGGACTAAAAAGTTTCAAAATTCCAAAATAGGACTTCCATGTTTTTATTCCCAAAATAGGACTAATTACTGTCCTGTTTTGGCAGTACCAGACTTCAAACATGGCAATATTTTCCAAATTTGACAGTAATTAGTCCTATTTTAAGAATAAAAACATGACAATTCTATTTTGGAATTTTCAAACTTTTTTATTCCTATTTCGGGGAACTTTCCCAATTTTTTTCAATGTCATTTTTGTAATTCAAGCGAAAATTTATGGATTCCGCTAAATGAGCATTAGTGTACTTTTAGTGAACAACTGAGCCATTCTACTGAATATTAGAAGGCTAACAATGAGCATCACGATCTCTGCTTCATACCTTTTCATTCAATTTTTTTTCTTTTGTAAAAACTTATTAAATTATATCTATAATACACTCCTATAAATTTCAATATGCGAATTTAATGTAATATGATATTTTTGAAATGTGCATTGATATGACATTTTAAAATGAGCATAACATCAAAACCAAATGAGCATTCATAACTTACAAAATATGCATTGATGGAAAATCGTAAGGTTGGTTAGATTAACATAACGACATTTTCTTTGAACATCAAACCTCTTCTATTGAGATGAAAACTACGATTTTTGTTAAGTGGGCATTAATGAACTTTTAATGAGTATCAGACCTATTCTGTTGAGTATTAGAATTCCAATATTAAGCATAGTGAATTCTGCTTCATAACTTCTGATTCACTTTTTTGTTATTTTTTCTTTTATAAAAACTTATTAAATAATATTTATAATAAAGTCTTATGAATTTCAATATGCAATCTAATATAATGTATATGTCATTTTAAAATGAGCATACAACCGGTACAGAATGAGTATACACAATTTACAAAATGAACAACGAAAAACTCAAAAGCTCATTTCTAATCTCCAATATGCTCAAATGTTTTTTTTTTTTTTGAATAAAATGTAAATGTATTAATATCCAGAAAAATTAGCATATACAATGCATCAAAATAAAACTATCTAAGCTAGTCTAAAACTAGCTATCAATAGTATCCCCTCACCCCCCCCCCCCCCCCCCCCCCACAACCTAATGAAAGGTAGGGGGAGAAGTTTTTTAAAAGGCCCAATCCATAAAAAAAACTGGCATCTTCTAATCCTTTTCTTCTCCCATTTTGTGTAAACATTTTGTGTACCTCAAGCATTTTTCTTGGTATCATTGCCATTTGTTTCCTATTCAATTTGTTTCTTTTCTACACAAAAATTATTGTAAATCAAAAGTACTAGAAAGTTCAAACATGTGCAACATATATTGAAAATAAAAAACGAAATTGTCATGAGTTTATTGAGCTTTTCAGTACCCAAATTGGCATGAACACATTCATAATTCTTTAATTGATTGTGGTTAAGAAGTGGTAAAACATTAGCAATTATAATTGATCAAGCCATCAAGGGTAGCAGCAGTAAAGTTGTTGTGGTTGCAGGCCAATATCAATTATTTTTTCTATCCATCGGTCTCAAATTGTAATAGAGCTTGAAGCTATGTCAAGTAAATATTCACTTGCAAAATGTACTTTTTGACTAAAGGGTTCCCAATGCTCAAGTTTATATTAGGTTAAAGATAGACAGTCAAATCATTTTTTGAAGTTTACTGCGCCAAAATATACATATAAAAACGCAGTCAACTTCAAAAAATGATTTGACTGCATTGAGTCTAGGGTAAACACCGGGTACCCGACTAGGTACAAGCAGTTACCGGTCCTGGGTTCCAATACTCGGGACCGAACCAAACGGTTCCGATCCCGATTCAGTCTTGGACCGTCTATTTTTTTAGCCTAGAAAATGACAAAAAAATAGAACGAGACCGAGTCCGGCCCAGAGCCCAAACCGGGGCCGGACTGAGACCCGTAAAAACCTGGGCTTCACGTTTCACAGACCAGGACCGGCTGGTCCGGGACCGGGTCCATGCCTAGTCATGATCGATAGCCTACAAGCAAGTATACACAACAAGCATCTTACAAAAGTATGCAGGATACTTCCATCGAGTCTGAATTGCATAGTCCGTGAGTGAAGAGAATCACAAAGAAAACCAACGAATAATTGAGTGACCAGGGTTTTTTAGGGGTTAAATAAATTATCCAGAACAGGATCCCCGATTTATGGGCCCCCATATTTTTAAAAATTTATTAGTATATAGTACTCCGTAATATTATATATTAATACTATTAAGTAAAGTACAATTAGTAAGAAAGAAAAATATAGATCCATCATTTTGTCGTTGGTCCTTTTAGTTCTCTTTTACTTAAATTTCTTGAATAATGAGTTGTGTTGCTTTAAATCAAGTACTCATATTAAGTAAGTTTTAAGTTTTTTATTACATTATTTAATAAGTATTCCATTGATTTATGTATATGTATTTGGATTGAGATTCTTTTTTTGAATTCTTTATATTTATGCGGGGCCTCAATTTTACATTTGGAATCTAGACCTTCAAAATCAATAGACGGTCCCGTTGAGTGATTATTACTTAGAGCATCTCCAATGCTATAATGTCCACGGTGCAAATGTGGCATGAGTGATAGCCACATAAATATTAGCAAATAAATTATTTCTCTCCTTATTTGAATGATTTTATACAATTTTGGTAAGTTTTTTCCTGCAATGTTAACAACAATGTCAACATCTAGACGGTCTCCTTGACAATGTGGAGAAAAACTTACCAAAACTGTATAAAATCATTCAAATAAGAAGAGAACGAATTTATTTACTAATATTTATGTGGCTATTTTTCATGCCACGTGTGCACCGTGCACATTTTACCATTAGAGATGCTCTTATAGTCAAAGAACCTACCTATACCAATATTTTTTGACATAAATAGGCGCACTCATATTTTAATAAAATCATCCAACAACATGCAATACAAATTGGTGGAATGTCCTTCCAAAAAATACAACTTGTCTAAGAAACATAACCGGCCAAGATATCGGCTCACGATTCGCAGATGGCCTTACATGTCTCACACACATCTGTACCTAAAGACTTAAGATGTAAAAGATCAGCAAGCAAACTATCAAGACAGATGCACTGGAGCTTATCTAGGATTCTAGGGTCTATGCTCAGACCCTGGAGATACTAATTTAGGAAGTAACATATGCATGAACCAAACAAATTAAATATACTCTTATTGAATTGGGGCTTGCTCATGGAAATCCATTGACTTAGTCACCCAAAAGGTTACAACTAACAAAACAAATTATGAGGTTTCACTCATTTTGTTGCCCAAGAAAGAAGGGCGAATTGTCACTGGCTCTTGTATAGGTTTCTGCTTGTAACACTACGCCTTTCTGTAATGAATTTCTTGTACCATTTTGCCGATAGTTTTGGTGTTCTCTTCATAGTGATACGATCCACGTGGTAAAGCCCCAAACGTTTTGAGTATCCAAATCCCCACTCAAAGTTATCAAGCAATGACCAAACAAAGTAACCTCTCACATCTGCTCCTTTCCTAGTCATGTTCCCAAAAGAAAAACAAGAAAACACCTTGATTGTTAGGAGTCGCATTCATTTGGTTATTCAGGGAGTGTTTGCAATTGCTTCAACTTTAAAAAAGTGATTTTTTAAAGTGATTTTGGGAAAAGTGATTAATAGTAAAAGTTGGTAGTGTTTGAGAAAAAAGTGATTCTGAAAAAGTAAAAGTTGGTAGTGTTTGGTAAAATAAGTACTTTCTATGTAATAGAAAAAGTGAGAAGCAGCTTAAAGCACCCTTCTACCTGCTTCCAGCTTTTAGCTTTTAAGTGATTAATTTAAGCAGAAGCTGTCATTTGAAAACACTTTTTTCAGCTTTTTTTAAGCCAAAAGCTAAAAAGCGCTTTTTTAAACAATCCCAAACACTCCTTCAATCTGTTTAGCTCATTTTTTGTTACTTTTTTCAAGAAAACATAGTAGATTGTTACTAGTCACATGTCTTTAGCTTTTCATTTTGTTACTAGTCTTTTGGCCGCACATGTAGAATTGGTTCATAATAAGAAAATTTCCTAAATATAAATAAAATATACGTAGTAAATATTACTATTGTTTAGAATATCATTGTTTCTTTATCAAAATATAATTTATACTTCAGAGAAATTGTTGTTCTTTTAATAAGACTAAATAAGCCGTATTTAAGAAAAAGTTTAAACATACTTAGCACCAGTTTGAAACTTTTTCTATTTTTACTCCTACTTTGAGCAATTTCTTAATAAAAAACACTTATTTTGAAGATTATGATTTTAAAAGTCTCCCACTTTTTGTTTATTATTACTATTATTATTATTATTATTATTATTATTATTATTATTATTATTATTATTATTATTATTATCATTATTATTATAAAATGCATTTTAAATAATATCTTTCGTAATTGAAGAAATTTAACTGATTAAGTTACTTCAATCACAACTTCATTCAACATTTTTATATGTATAACAAATCAATCATTTGTTATCAAATATAAGCATCAACTATAGGAAGAGTTCATTTTGTTCTGATGTAATCCAATCAATAAAAAATTTTGTCCAAAAACTAATTTAATTGTCAAAAGCCACCCTAATTTAAAGGTTGATCCATGGCGTTGTATTTGGGATTTTTTAATTAGGGACACAACTTTTTTCAATCTCAATATCAAACATATAACACTCAAAGATATATTTCCACCACAATAGTTGAAAGTATTGTACAAGTGTTCTTCAAATAAAGGATTTTTTTCTAGCAATCTCAATTCTCATTAAGCTTAGAAAGTGAGACTAGTATTATATTAATATATTTACCATACCGGAGCGCGTTTTCCAGGGATCCTATGTATCCATTCAAGAATTCCACTCTCTTGGTATCATTCAACACCTCTTCAATGCTTGAGTTTGAATCGGTGAAATCGCAATAACCTGTAGTGCAATTTTAGTCGATTTGAAGAATCCACAGAAAAATTAAAATGATAGTTAAAGTATAATTTTATTATTTGTATTGAAATATGTGTCTCTGTTCTCACCATTTTCGGTAATATACAGTGGTATATCTGGGTATCTATCCCTCACATACATGATTACTTTCTCCATTCCATCAGGATAAACAAATAGATAGTACAACCCTGTCTACACAAACCAATCGATAGGCTTAGAAATGGCAATATGGCATGACATGAATTATTGCATTATGAGAATCTGTTTTCTTAACCCAAGAAATGTGATATGATCTATTTTAAGATATACCAATTATTTTGCTCTGATTTCATATGTCGATTCATGTTGTGAATGGCTATTGCCCTGAATTGTTATTATCCAGTTCTGTACGAATCTTTTTCGTCTGAGATGGTAAAATGCTTCTAGTCCGAATTAGTATGTTTTTGTCTAGTTGAATTAGGCCTGGTTTGATATGTTTGGTTTCATTCCATTGGTTAAAAAAACAAAAAGTAATACTTTCTCTTTTCGTATATAATTGTCCATGGATTATGAATTTTGAGATGATCATGATCAATTATTTTAGATTGAAAACTGAACATCTATTATGTCGTGGATGTTAGAATTAGTAATAATAAGTAAAAGATAAATCCATTGAAGGATAATTCAGTGTCATGTAAAAGTACCTCCTCCCCAATAGTGGTGCCATTCTTTCTTGCAGTTTTAGAAACAAACCCTTCTACTTTGTAGTTTCCAGGATCATTGGATTCACACTTAGAAGACAAGCAATCCTGAACATAGTATGTGGTATAATGGTTTATTCCAATGAAGTCTAAACCAGATGCATCCTGCAAACTCTCCAAGTCACTGCTTGAGAACTCTGGCAAATCAGATCCCAAAATTCCCTTCATTTCTTTTGGATATCTTCCATATATAAGTGGGTCTAGGAACCTGTTTTTGTGCCACAGATATATGTTTGACTAACTTTAAAGTTTAAATAGAATATTACAATATATTACATAATAGGATTACATTAATCAATTTTGAATGAAAAGGTGATTAAATACGAAAAGTTTCATGTAACTTATTAAAAAAGCTACTAATAAATATTACTCATAGGTTTACAAACGTGTCAATAAAACACAAAATTTAAAAAGCTTTCTTTACCAAAAGTTAGAGTTTGTTTGGCCTGAAATGGGCTAAATTGATTGAAATTTCTAAAATTATGGTTGAAACAGTTGAATTGTCTAAATTAGGTGACATGTGAAAAAGTAGAAAAAAAATATACGGAGTAGTTAATACTACTTATATATATTAAAATTTTTCTCACAATTCAAAAAAAAATGTTTTTTAGAAAGGTAAAACAATTAATGTTAAGAAATTGGTTGACAAAATGAATAAGTAAAATAAAAGGTCACCACTCACCAGGAACTCCGTACTTAATAACTAGCTTATTAAACATTCAAACATAGCGTAAAAGTAAACATTGAGAAACTTACCAGTTTGACTCAAAAGATAGACTTCTTTCCACTGCCAATTTATCTGCTGACGTGTTTCTCAGTGGTTCATACCAATAGTAAAGCATAGAAATACCTATCTGCCCTCCTTGTGCTTTCTGGACGTTATAAATCCAAAGTCAATTACATTCCGTTAAGCCAAGAGCTCCAAAATTGATCAACAGACTAATGCATTCACATAATGTTTTCTGATAAAAAAAGTGTACATTTGAAAAAAAAAATCATTTTATAAGAGTTTGGGATGGGCCAACACTTCCTATATTTGCTGCTGGATAGGCCATATTAAAAAGGTTACCAACAAGATTTTTATTATTATCAAACACTAACTAATTCATCCCATCCACTTAATCAATCTTATACTTCTATTCCATAACTCTTTGCCACTATTCATTTGAGATATCCCAAAATTTCACCCCCATTTCCTTTTCAGAAATCATTTGTGTGGTTCACATTCTTCCCACATTTTCTACATCAAATACAATCACCTATTTCATTCCCTTAATAATCTTGCCAATTTCATGTAGGAAGAACATAATAGGATGGATGGGATAATAAAAAAGTGAGGTAAAAATTTTGTTTTTATTCTTCTCTTCAAACTTTTCCTTATACTACGTATTTTTTTAGAAATAGTCACAAGTCAGAGAAATGAGACAATAAATGCTAGTTTTTAAAAGGGAAATCACCTCCATCCTTATAGTATATTGACCAATGCTTGTTTAAAACTCATAAGTATATTTACAATCAATGGCATTATTGTAACCTCAACCTTACAGGGTTCGAGGTGATACACGCTCTCATGACTCAGTACTTTGAACAAACGGACACATGTCTTTACGATGCACTTGATCTCACTAGACAACTTCTTAAGCGTCACCCATTCCAAAACTACTCCCGTACAAGCACGCTTGATGCGTGTGTAATTTCCATGTGTTTGTTTACACTTTTAGTTAATTTTGGTTGTTTAATATTTCGGAAATTACACATTTTTGGTGTAATAGTTTAGTTTGTTAAATTCTTGTAAATTGTTTAGATTAGGTTTATTCTGAGCTCAAACAGGTCTACTATCACTCAAAGGACAGTTGGTGAACCCCAAAAGTGGAAGGAAGGTGCAAAATCACAAGAAAATAGGGGAGATCCTGATTTTTGGTCTATACCCGGTCGAGTATCATCTATACTCGATCGGGTATCTTGTTGAAATTTCAAATCGGATCAGATCCGAAAACAAAGGAACATGCAGGGAAGATTTTGACCACGATCGAGTGTCTATACCCGATCGGGTACACCGACATACTTGATCGGGTATAGCTATAAATTCTACTCTAATATCGATCGAGTATGGATCGAATTCGAGTTTCTACACATACTCGATCGAGTATCTGTATATACTCGATCGAGTACCCGAGCTGCACTCCCAAAAAGCCTATAAATACACCTCCTTTCCTTCACAATAGGATACCAATTCCTTTATACTCTTAAGCTCAGTTTAGAATAGCATTTCTTTATATTTCTTTTAGCATGTTTAGTCTCCAAATGAGGAGCTAAACTTCCATTTCTTGGTATTGCTCTTGAAGCTTGTTGATTATTAAAGTTGTGAGTTATTTTCTTAACTTCTTTCCTTGAATATTAATTCTTCCTTTAAATACTATTTCTATATCAATGTTGGGGAGTGTTACTAAGATGACAATTAGTTAACATCTTGACATTGGTCTTAGTAATAGCTATTCCTTCCTCTATGTTAATATCGGGGAGTGTTACTAAGATGACAATTAGTTAACATCTTGATATTAACTATAGTAAGATTCATTCTCTTTAATATTCTTCCTTGAGTATTAATTAATTCCTATTCATATTTCATATTAATATTTTGAACATTACTTAAAGGATCAACTAGTTTTGTTTCATATATTAATTATTACTAGAAACGATCAACGAACCGATGGTTAATCGTTGATAGTTTCACAAGTAAGTAACTTCGGTTTATTAATGCACGGTCGTGGTTAATAAACTTAAGAGGGATTAATTTTGTTGGTTAAACTGAAACCGTTGTGTTGAGGTTATCAATCTCAATTGATTTCATCAAGGAGTTAAAAGATTAAATGCTACTATCAAGTCGGTATATGGCATTGTTCTATACTTGACTAATAGTAAGAGTTATTAATGAACGGTCGTTGTTAATAACTATCCTCGATGAATTGGATATACTCCTCGATTGAGTATTCGAGAGGAGATAAGTTATAGATATAACAATGATCGACTAAAATATATCAACAAGTGTAAAGTAGCAATGCCAAGTCCTTTTTATTCTTGATTTTAATCCCACATAACTCGTTCATCTTCGTGTTTAATTTAATTAAATCACTCAATCAAAACTCCCCCCTTTATTTACTAGTTACATAAAAAGAAAGTTATTCCTTTCCCTGTGGATACGAACTCTACTACGCTATACTACATATAGTTGTTAGTATTGAATTTATTTTGAGTGCACACAGTGGAGGAGCTAGGGAGGGGCATGAGGGGGCAAGCGCCCCCGCTTCGGGCAATTGTTTTTAGTACTACTACTTAGAATATATTTAATGCCCCTCCTTTTTTCAAAAATAAATACCAATTAAGGATAATTTTAGATTAAGTGTTGAAATAAAAGGCAAAGTCTTTCAGAATACATGTGTGTCTCTAGTATACAAGTATTGCCTGCAGCATACCACACTCATTTGAATGCAAGTGTGGATTATTTTAGACATTTAATGACACACATGTTGGCTTTTCGTGGTTATAGTGAGCTAGAAAGTGTTGAGTTTGACGAATACGTTGTCACATTTCTTGTAACAAAAAAGATCAAAACATTCTCGAGATTATGTTGGATTCCCTCCTTAGTCGAGAAATTCATGACAATTTTAGAATTTTTAGAGATCGATTTCCAAGAGATTCTCTATATGTGTGTGGAGAAGTATTGAATGTTCTAGAATAATAATGTGAAGTTTTCCGGAGAAGTGTTGAACTCGTTAAAATCATGTGGAAGTGTGTAGAAGCCTCTAGAACATTTTGAAGAATTGTGGGATTTTCTAAATCCTTCCAGAAGATAAGAGAAGTTTGTGGATACTTTTTTGGAAAAATCTAGATGTGTGATGGTGTATAAAATATTCTAGAGAAAATTTGATGAGATTAGTATAAAGAAGCTTCCCATTTATATGAGAACTTTGATGAGAGCTCTTGAGTGAGTGAAAGTGAGAGTCTCCTTGAAAGATGAGAGTGAGAGCTTTCTTGTGAGAGAAGAAGACTCAAAGATATCGTTTGATGAAGTGTATGTGATCAAGTGAGGTAGAGTACGTGAAGTAGACTCATATACAAAAAGTGAGTGAAGATATTACAGAGTGATATTGTCAGATTGAGTCTTTGTATTATGACTGTGTGGATACATAAGTGTACAAGAGTCTATGAGATCGTGATCCTAGAAAAGGTTGGGGTTGTGTTTTTCCAACATAAATATACAACATTTTGAACAAATTAAAACTCGTACGATTGATCGACCGAGATTATAGATATGAGTCAAGCGGTATGTAATGAACTATTTTGTGCTAATGTAATACGTTTTTATTGTTTTTATTAAATTTTGAGTGAATACACAACATTAATAGCCTTTAGTACGCCCCTCCTTCGAAAAAATTCTGGCTCCGCCACTGAGTGCACACACGACAAAGTACACGTCAACGCTTAACATCAAAGTTCTTAGCAAATGAAATCCCTTATAAGAAGATGCACCTTGTTTTAATTCCTTAAACTATTCTCAAATATTACAATTATACTTAGGGTAGAAACAAACCAAATATATCTCACACTTATAAAAGTCCTTTTAGTTATAAACTTATAAAACTAATACTTCCATGAGAGCTTGAGATTTAGTATAAGGGAGGCAAGGGATTTCATATAAGTATACTTTTATAATTTATAAATATTTCTACTTATATACACATATATACATGGGTTTTGTTTGTACGGGACGATCGAGGCCCCTAAAGCTTCCCATGATACTTCTTAATGAGAATAATGAATATGTATCACCTCAAATAAAACATCAATAATAAGAATGAGAATATGAAAACTACCATATACTTCGTATACTACATCATAGATAACTGAACTAGAAAACAAAAACCACCATAATACTAAGGAGTGTTTTTAATCCAGAAAATAGAAGATATGTCATTTATCAATCAAGAATCAGAAAGAGAAAATGTACCAATTTAGTACTCGAAAGATTCAAGAATGAATAGTCACATGACAACTAGTCAGTTCAATAACTGCGCACAAAGTAAATAAAAGACAAAAATTAAGGAGCGTTTTCATTTGTTTAAAAAGTATTTTCACCTGTTAGAATTAAAATGGATAAAAGTATTTATAGGTAAAAGAGGAAAGCAGAGGCAGTGAGTACTTAAATTTTCTTTTCATTTTTATTAAACAAAATATTTATGTTGTAAAAAACTCTAATAAGTTTTACTTTTTCACGACCATTGTTTCTTTACAAACACTGCCAACTTTAGTATAAAAATTCTTCAAACGGTCTCGAATAAATTTATAAATCACTTTTCAAAAAATAGAATCAATCATTGATAGGCTCAATTGATTAGTCATTTAGGCCTAAGATGGCTCCTATGCCTGCTTAGTACAATCTCTCCGGGTAAAAACATGACCTCTATCAATCCATCTAACACTGCTGCCCGACCAAGCATCTAACACTTTAATATATAAGTCACGATGTCAATAAAATTGAACTATTCCACCATTTATATATACACACTTGTAAAAACTTTAATTGTACCTGATACTTTCTTCTGTAAATGTTGACAGCAGATGCATGAGCTAGAATCATGTTGTGTGCTACTATCAGAGGCTGCAATGAATCTTCCTTTGAACAATAAGGTGGCTGTGAACAATGATTTGGTGGCCAGCTTCCTACACGGTATGATAAGACAGTCCACAAGTTTGGCTCATTGAAGGTAATCCAGTGTTTTACCCCATTACCAAGATACTTGAAACACACTTCAGCAAGATATGCATATTCTTTCCTACAAAATGTTTAAACCTTGTAGCATTTAATGTAATTCTGGACTAAGCCAACCTCATATTACTAATTAACGAATCAAGCACTAGAGTATTTTATTCTTTTGTTATTTATGAGGTCTAACTTACTGTAATTCTGGACTAAGCCAACCTCCATATTTGTCCTCGAGTTCTTGTGGTAGGTCATAGTGGTTCACTGTTACAAATGGCTGGATTCCTATTATGAATATATATATAATATATGTTAGAAAACAAATCTCATGAAAGTTTGATCTTAACCCAATATTTGATTACAAAGAAAAATGTAAAGACAAAGCATTCAATATTCGAGAAAATGTGATATTAGGTACTCCTCAGAGTCGAGGCGGATTTAGAATTTAGGTCTTGGGTGTTCATTCTCTTACAATACTTAAAACTCTTAAGAACAATAAATAATTACACTAAATTTACACATGTATACCAAGACGTTTTTCAAAATTTTGGATATTTATTAGAACACACACCTCAAATCAATGGATCTCCGCTGTAAAAGTTGAAATAGTAAAAGTGAAATTCATATCAAACATATTAGAGACCAATTTCCACGCTCTAATAAAGAGCACATTAGGTCGATGACTGAGTAGGATGCAGTCACCTCATAAAAAGAGTTCCATTTATATGAGGTTACTGCATCTTAGACATGCACACACCTAGTGACATATTTGACATTCTCAATGAATTTACTCAAACTAAAATTGAACTCTTTTAAACTTCTCCCACCATCCAAATAGGATGGAACTAAGCTCGGTACTAGAGTGGAGGAAACCCTACATGTGCAACTTGTCAATGCTCACTCGCATCGATCTAGAGCTTGTGTTAGGTAGTTACAAAACCAAGTTTGAAGAGTGTTTGGTTGGAACAGGGTAGATCCAAAGAGGGAAATGGATTTAAACAATATGAAGCAATCAAGGAACTGTATCATGTTGGAGCAGGAGCAACACTTTTAGCAAGTTGATTAGGGTTAGAATCCCTATAACCACTTTTTGTAGTTTTAAATTAAAAAAAAAAAAGCCTTAAACTAGTTCAAGGAGTTGTCATGTACTTCTTGTTCTTATTGCTGATTACTTATTACATATTTTATTTGGATCATATCAGAAAAATTGAGATCGAAAATGACAGGTTCAGACCAAATCAGAAAGATTCAAATCAGATAAAATACAAATAAGATTAGATTACATCACAGATCAAATTGTTGGTAGGATTTAGCTCATCCAATAAAACAACACACCAAAAGAGAAAAACAAACATGGAGTGTTTGTGTGTGAGCTCGGTGGGCATGGAGTGAACTAGTAGTTGAGTATGGAAGTTCTTCATCCACTTGTAATTTTATGCCATTTTGATGAACAAAGAATTTCTAACTTAATGCATACCATGCTTCTTTTTGAAGTTTAAGAGTAAAAGTCACTAGGGTATATTTGATGATGATCCCTATCTAAAGAAAACTTCTCAATTATATGCTACGTAGTATTATTATATTCTTCTTTTAGTAGAGTTACAGTTTAATAAAGGCAAAATATTGCTCATAGATAATGTTTAGTCCACCCCTAGTGTGTGGTGTATGATATAAGTGTCCTTTCTATCATGCTAATAAGCCGAAAACCTTCTACTAATATATTGTGAGACCTGCTGCTTCAATTATGTGAAGGGTGAGAAAACAGATTGGTTGTTGCTCCTTTGTGAAGTCATTCCCATTATGGTGAGCTCTTCTCCTTCTTTGTGAAGGTGTTAGAAGTAGTGTGGAAAGGTTAGAGACTAGAATTGTTGCTCCCTTAGTTTAAAAGTGCACAAATACAACATAATAGGATTTCTCACCCAACAACCACATTTATGAAGTTTGGAACTTTAGTCCCCTACGGTTGTACCCATTTTTAGTCTTGTGTAACTTTACTCATCTGCAGATTTGATCCTCTAACTATTAAAACTGTCAATTTTAAGGATTTTTTCAACAGAAAATACACTTTTTTCCGCAAAACGTCTTTTGCATAAAAATTCGGAAGTTTCCTTTCAACTAGAAAAGGACATCTTTTTACTGCGTGGGCACATTTATTTTCTACCAAATCATATCTGTAAGTGACTAAAGTTACAAAATAACAAAATTGACATATTAAACATTGCGGTATTAAATCTACACCTTTCTCACCACGTTTAATATCAATTCACAACGGTTAATTTAGATAGAATGTCAAACCTTTTCGTATTAAAGATCTAATAACGTTTTTATAGTACTGGATCCCATCCCAGTTAATGTTGCCGTGTCTTCCCTCTGCGATGACAAGCAACGAGTAAAACTATATATATACTGTCATTGATGGTTTACCATAGCTTAGCTAGCTTTAATTAAGAATTAAGACACAAATCAAACCAGATATAAGGTCACGTACTTGGTAGAACTCGAGCCCATAAAATCGAAATCTTTTGACTGTTTACTCCTAGAGAAGCCAATAGATCTGCATCTTCCTGTTCATTCCAATTTATACTTTAATATAATTATCCTCAATTGATCATGGACAGGAATTGAAATACTTTAATCTAATTATCCTCAATTGATCATGGGCAGGACTTGAAAGAGTTCATGTAGCTCGTTTGGCGACCCTGTTTTTTTGCTTATTGGGTTTAGGGGTGTTTTGGTATACAGAATATTTTATCACATACCTTTACCATTCCGTAAACTTTCGGTATGCAAAAAAACATACCGTTACCATACCGAAATTTTGGTATACCTTGTTTCGGTATACCAAAATTTCAGTACGGTAAGGTACGGTATCGATAAATTATCATGATTTAATATAACAAATTATTTTATATAAATGAAATATAGAAAATTAGTGTTAATAGTGACATACTAAAATTATTAATGAAATTAATTGTAAAATACCAATGATAACCTATTGGTATTCTATTCTACTTTGAACAATTTTTTTATAAATATGTACAAATATTTCAACCCATGATATATGAAGATAACAACACATTCTGCTAGAATAATAATTTAAAAAACATAAATATATTTAAAATAACATCGATCTCCAACAAAAAGTATAAATAATTCAAGAAACATGGATATAAAGTCATTTATACTTGAATTGGTGTTGTGTTTCTAGTTATTTTTATAATTTTAAAGAAATTAAATTATTGGCTTGGAATTACGGTATGACGGTATACCGGTATACCACTTATTTCCAAAATATATACCGATACCACACCGAAGTGATTCGGTACGGTATCATACCGTACCAAAAGTGTCGGTATACCAAACATTTCGGTAAATTCGGTATTTTTCGATATGGTAAGTTCGGTATACCAAAATTTCGGTATTTTTCCCCACCCCTAATCGGGTTTACAAGCCAACTTTTTCACCAAACACGTAACTTTTGATTTCACGCGCTGAAATGTGTAACAATAAGAAAAAGTAAGGTTGAAATTATTTTTCTGACGGTATTGGCTGAAGTTATTGTAGATGACCATTTTAGCAATTTTTTCATATAATTTTTTCTTTACTCTATTAATAAAAAATATTTTAAATATAATTTTTTCATAAATCAGCAAAATCGGCCAATCTAGTCACTTTAGTCGAACTTCATAAATTTCAGCAGAATTAGCCGATTCAGCCAATTTTAATGTTATCAAATGGGCTCTGAATTTGGTGATGTGAGTAAAATTGGGACTAAAGTGGCTTAATTTGTCAAATAATCTTACATTTTAAATAACAATGTTATTAACTTCAATTTTCTTTAAAAACTCAAGGTACATTTTGTGCTCACCTATGTTGCACGGAAACCCGAAAATCAAGAAGATACCGGAAACATCATTTTTTGCTCAAAAACGTTTGTTTGTAGAGTTTTCAAAGAGTTTCCGAAACGGAAATGTACTATGTCCCGAGAGTTTCCGTGCTACATAGGTGGTCAATATAAAAAAACAACAGCGTTGGCACTAAATTGACATTGATCACTTGAATTTAACACGGATCTAAATATATTTTTAGCATGACTTTGTGTCAAATAGTTCGTGACAAAATGACTTTGACACGAATTTTATCTAGGGTTTGACATGGACTCGCAGACAGTGGTGGACCCACCTTGTGTCCCATGGGATCCCCAGACCCACTCACCTTAAAAAAATATATACATACATATACACACTCACACACATATATAGACACACATATTATGTATAGTGGGTATATTTTATAAAATTAACTGCCATATGTATATATACAACAAACACCATTGAGAGATTGAAAGAATAAAATAGAATAGCGGTGGCCTAAGCGGTTTGAGAACTCTCGAACTTGTGGGATGTACACGGATCTATTTCGTGAGTGAAGATTCAATTTTTCTTTTTTAATTTGATTGCTATACGTAATTAACCAACTAACCATACATGAATTGGTTTGCACATTTATATTTGGAGAAATGTGAAAACATACCCCTGAATTATATGTGGAGGTATGTATATACTTTTGAACTTTTAAAAAGTGAAAAAATAGTTCTCACTTTTGCATAAAGGAGCAAATTTACCTTTATTCGCTTCAAATAAATAAAATAAATTTTTTAAAAAACCAAAAATAAATTATTTATTTAACAAATTGAAAAATTAAAAAAATTAAAAATCTACTTGTGTATAATTGTGATTTTATATTGTTATTTGTTAGTATAAAAAAATGTTTCGAAACTTTACTATATATTTATGATTCTTTCGGAAAAGAGTAACATATGTGTTGTAATGTAAAAAACTCATTATTTTTATTAATCCTTGCACGTACTATAAAATTACATACTCGGTATGATGATAAATAGTCTAAGATTATAAAATAGTGAATTTTATTTATTAAGTTTAAACAAAACGAAGGAATGTTTTTCAAAAAGTGTAACAATGTGTTCGAAATTTCTCAACAACACTAAAATTAATATTTATAAATTTGAAGTGCTTCATTTATTAGGGAAAAATAATAATTTGCAATTTAAAATCAAAGAGTTATTATTTTAACATAAAAATTTTAGCTATTTTTTTTCAATTTCGAAATTAATTTGTTTTTAAATTTATTTTATTTATTTAAAGTCAATGAAGGTAAATTTGCTTCTTTATAGGAACATTAAGGGTATTTTTGCACCTTATAGAAGTTTAGGGGTATATCTGCACCTCCACATACACTTTTGGTGTATATTTGAACCTTTCCCCTTTATTTTTAAATTAATATTGCTGCTTATGCCAGGCTCCACACACGGTACTCTTTGTTTTATATTGTATTTTTTAAATTTCAGTTTTTGTAAAACTTCCTTTGTTAAATAAGTTTCCACCATTTATGTAATTATTTACTTATATTTTACATTGTTCTCACTTAAGTAGCACGGAAACGGGAAACGGGAAACGTGAAACAGGAAACGGGAAACGCGAGAAACGTAATTTCTAAACAAATATAGGATACGAAACGTGAGGGAAATGCGTAAATATTATAAAATATAAGGATATATTTATAAATAGTAACACAATGTATTGCTAGAAATGTATTACTCCGTACACAAGTTTTTTCATATGCACATGTTTTTTTTCATATAATTTGTTTAGTAACCAAATAATAAAATCACTCTACATGTTCGAATTTAGATATTATTTCATATTAGTATATAAATAAACATAAAATGTACGGAGTAATACATTTCTAGCAATACATTGCGTTACGAAATGTAACAAGTGTTGATGCCGAGAAATACCACAAAAATTCAGTATTAAAAAAATTATTTTCCACCACAGAATCTTTAAAAAAGAAAAAAAAATGGAATCCGAAGTTTCCGAAACGTAGTGAAACGGGTTTCCAAATTTTTCTTAATTACGGAAACGGCCCCGAAACGGGAATATGAAGTTTTCGAGTTTCCGAAACGCTTCCGGGTTTCCGAAACGTGGAAACGTGAGCCGTGGAGAGTTTCCGTGCTTCATAGGACTTCTCGCTTTTGGTTAACTTAAAGGATCGAGATTTAAATTAGGAAAAATTCACATCAATAATCTCACATATTTATGTTCTTCTAACATTAATCCGATATATGTATACTCCCATAATAATCTCAACTTAACGAGCATCCTTCCCAAAATGCTCCGATATGACTTGGAACTTGTTTTACAGGTAAAACCTTCTATCCATCTCACTTGATGGCTTCACGGCTTTGCCGATTTTTCTCTTCTTGGTTACGACTGGATAAAACTCCAGCTACTCGCCTGCTCCTTCGATCTCATCTCCTCTTATCTTTTCCCTAATCTTCTTCTCGGAATATTGTTCCCCTCTCGAGTCTTTTGCTCAACCGTATGTTTGGATAGAAATTTTTGGCTCTCTTAATTCAAAAGAATAAGAAGCCTATGAGGAGGATGGTGAGAAAGTTGTAGTGTAAAAAAACAGCCTGCAGCCAACCTAAAAGAAGCGGAGAGAGGGCTGCCGGCAAACAAAGATCACTCTCTTCTCTTCGTGGGTCTAAAGTAGTAACCCACCAGGCCACTTCTCACTAGTAAGGATTCAACTGCAAATCCGATTACGTCTTTTTCGTGTCTGACCAAATTCAGTTTCATACCTCCAAGTTTTTATCTAAATTGATTCGGATGTCCTGGTTTGTATTTCAAAATCAAGATTCAGACATGAATTCATGATTATGAGCTATGGTTAATAGAACATTGATGAAATTAGAAATAATAAAGAGATTGGAAGAACTAAAAAGCAGAGGAGAGGAGAACGAAGTACGACTGTACGAGGTCAAAAGAAAAAACAGAAAAGAAAAGACATAGTTCAAGGAAGAAGACGACCGCAGAATAGCTAGGTAAGGGAGAGAAGAAAGGGGAATAGAAAATAAAAGAAAGAAGAGAAATTAAAGGAAAAAAATAGGAAGTCCAATTAAAACAAGACACTTGGCCATATGACCGGCTGAACTGGTTTATTCAGGTCATCCGGTTGTTTTTGGAAGCTACCCTATATTGTTTAGATTATACTGGAATTATGCATATCTGAGATTAATATGAGAAGACCCTTAATAGATGAGATTATTCATGTGAATTTTTCCTTTAAATTATTGACAAATACTAATATATTTTGAAGATTATATAATCAAAAATTAGATTTTAAAAAATGATGCAAATACTTTTATATTCTATTCGTCTCAGCTTAAACTTCTTGCTTTTTTGGACGTCAAATTAAAACTCCTCTTTTCAATTTTAGGAAATAATTTGTACTCTTAAATGATAAATTAATCATTAAAACTTAAAAACGATATAACTAGAAAGTCACAATTATCACCAATGACCTTCTATATTTAATTGTTGTCTAAATAACTGTGTGCCATTTTTCAATGAGATGTTTAAGACGGGGTGAAAGTAGTATACTACTACTTTTTTTATGTTTGGAACACATCCCTCAAATGTATAACTGCTTTTCATAAGTCATAAATACACCCTAATTTATTAAAAATAGTAATCTAAACATTGTTTTTTAAATTTCAAGGACAAAAAGTTGTTGAATTGGATGAAATGGTTGCTGAATGTGAAAGTAGTTTGACAGATAATTTACATGAGCAACATGTTGATTTTGAAGTTGTGGAATTAGATCTACATACGATCCGTGGTTAAATGATTGCTTTATTACATATGTTGAGAGAGATGTTTTTTATACAATCAGTGAGTGTTGAATCTACTATAGAATATATCCAACACATGAAATCTGGAGGGTATATTCGTAGAATTGTAGAATAAAATTTATATGCAATTTCATGTGTTATGATAATCTTAATATTTTGGTGATGTACGTTTACTATGAAACGTTATGCTTCTTTAATATTTTGCTTATTATATTTCTTTATTAACTTTATTATGTTCTGGTCCCGCCACTGCTCGCAGATCTCTGTCAAATCATATTTGTGCAAAAAAAAACCTACCGAATAGTCCCTGCTAAATCCTTGACAAAAATCCATATCAAGACCGTGACATGCCTGTTATTGTTTTTTGTAGTGTTTCATAATTAGGAGGGAAAACTGTCAAATAGGTACTCGAACTTTCATAAAAAAGTCAATTAAGTCCTTCTATAGGAGACTCTATCCGGGCATCGCGATTTGGGGCGGTTCCCGTTGGAATTTTTTGATGAAATTTTTTTAGCATCTTATTCATCAAGTCTAGTTTACTCATACCAAATTTCAGCTAAAAATTTAATCGGGAGAGCATTCAAATTAATTCGAGAACGCAAAAATGCGCAGTTATCTTCAAAAATTAATTTGAATGTGTTCCGCGATTTTTAGCTGAAATTTGGTATGAGTAAACTAGACTTGGTGAATAAGATGCTCAAAAAATTTCATCAAAAAATTCCACCGTGAACTGCCCCAAATCTCGACGGCCGGACAGAACCTCCTATAGAAGTACTTAATTGACCTTTTTATGAAAGTTTGAGAACCTAACTAACAGTTTTCCCTAATTAGGATGAACCTCTCAAAACTATTGAGGGCGTTTGAACTTAATTTCATTCTTACATAGGTATGTTCGAACTCGATGAATCGAAAGTGATTGTTACAAAAGTTATTGTCTTGAATAGTACTAAAATATTGCTGAAATTCCTAAATAGGAGTCTATATCATTTTATTCCCTAAATATGACTTTTGTTCCAAATTTACCATCCCCTTTAATTTAATTGCTTTCAAATTGTGAGGAAGCAAGGTCCGGTTCTTTTTATTCTCCCGTTCGTCTTCAACAATTGCTCTTGTTCATGTTCTGCAACAAGTTTTTCAATGTGAGGCAGCGACAACGTTCGAGGTGAGGCAGCGGCAACGAGCAACAAGCAGCGGCGGTGAGCAGAGGGAACCAGCGGCAAGCGTCGTTGAGCAACGGTGAGAAATGGCGGAATCCAGATCCGCTGGCCGAGTTGAAGTCGCTCGTTGTTCTCCCCTTTTCTTCTGTCATCTTTTTCATCTTCCTTCATTTCTCTTGCTCTACTGGTTTTCTTCTCTGGTTCAGCTTCATTGCAAATTTCGTTTTGTGTTTCATCTTTGAATTTTAAAAAATGTCAAATTTTGTTTTGAAATGCCATCAATTTGACATTATTACTCTTCAAACATGAAATGCCACTAATATGGCATTCGAATAGAAATGATGGCATTAGGGTCAGCACCGGCCAGATCTACAACGGCGGACGCTGGATTTGCAGTGACGGCGGTGGCCAAATTTGCAATGGCGACGACCAAATTTGCAGTGACGGCGGTCAGATCTACAATGATAGCCATTTTGGAGGTGGCGACCGGGGCGGTCCGGCGTCCTACAGGCGACAGTATGTTTTCTAAACTTCAGGGGTATTTCTGTCCAACTACAAATAATAACTCCTACTTATGAAAATTTTAACCTTTAGTCCTATTTTGGTAATTAAAGGTTTATTAACTCCTAAATCTCCCTTATTTTTACATTATTTACTTCTATTTAGGCAATGTTCTAAAAGACGTAAGGCGTGCCAAGGCGGCACGGCCGAGCCTTAAGCCTTTGAAGCCTAGGCGGAGCAAAGGCGTGAAAAGGCGTTTTGATTTTTTATTTTTTATTTTATTTTTTCTAGAACTATTTTCAATGTATTTAAATTTAATATTAAATAATGTTATTACATCGGGAGTATATTCTTACCAACTACATAAAAACTAGAACTGAAGCGCAGCTATCTTCAAGAATTCATTTGAATGCCTTTCCGATTGAAGTTTTAGCTGAAATTTTGGCATTCATAAACTAGTCTTAATGAATAAGAAGTTCAAAAATTTTCATCAAAAAATTCCACCTGGGACCGTCCCAAATGGCGACGGCCGGATAAAGCCTCCTATATAAGGGCTTATTTGACATTTTTATTTAAGTTCGAGGCCTATTTGAGCCTTTTCCCTTCTATTTATAGTGGCCATACCTCATATAAATGGTATTGATCATTTGCTAAGTCTGCATTACTTCCGTCAGCGATTTTACCTGCAACAGTATTCTGCACTTTTTTAGAGTCGGACATTATATGGTTGGATTATATTGTAATTTTTTCTTAAAAAGCTGTATATGTTCTATATATGTAAGTTCAAGGTTGAATTATAAAAAAGGAAAGACTATCAATTTGATCTTCCTATTATCACAAAAAATCAATTAGATGTTCGTACTTTTTAGAAAATCAATCATACCCTTAAAGTTTGCAAAAACATTCAATGAATTAATTCCACTTTTGGTCCTACGAGTTTTGTGTCAATTCCAACTTTAGTCCACGTCTTTCATTTTATTCACTTTTGGTACTTGACTAATGTTTTTTAACCGTTTGTGGTCCTTTTCCGACGATTTTATCCATCGGAAATAATGCCGGAAGGACCATATATGAGCGAAAACACAATAGCCATGTACCAAAAGTGGACAAAGTGAAAAATGTGGACTAAATGTGGAAATCACCTAAAACTCTGATAAGTCCTTATTTAGACACGCATTTGATGCGTGTTGGGATCGGCTTTTGATGGTTTTCCTGGCTTTAAGGTGTTACAAGTCTCAATTTTATCTCAAGTTATGTTTATCAGGCGTTGGTTCGAGTTTTGTGTTGTTTGGAGTCAAAATCACGAATTTAGTGTCCGGCACCGGCGCTTGAGAAGCAATCGGGAAGAGTTGGAGAACATTCGAAAGAGATTTGAGAGTTTTGGAGGCCACCGGGAGGTTCACGGCGAAGATTTGATGAAGAAACGGCCTTTGGATTGATTAAAGAAGTATCCGGGAGCAAACGGGGAAGAAAATGGCAAGAAAACGGTCCAAGAGCATTCCGCGCGCCCCGCGGACGATTCTAAGAGCAAATAATTGAGGGGTCTGAACCGCACATCGCGCGGTCCAGAAATAGCCCCCAGAAGTACCCGCGCGGTTGCATAGTGCGGCGCCCGCACACCGCGCGGTTGCATAGTGCGGCGCACGCACACCGCGCGGACAGAGCGAAAGTCGGAAGACGGAAAAACGCGCGCGTGACCGCGCGGTGACCCGCACGGCGTGTGGACGACCGCGCGGCCTGATTTTCGGCCTGTTTTCGGATTTTTCTATAAATAGACCCCTGTTTTGCCTATTTTTGACTTATGAGCTTAGAGAGATAAACCCTATTAAGGGATTCTTTGTAAGTTCTATCAATTTAATTAATGACAATTCTTTCTATTCATCCCAATTCTGTTGATTCTTCAATTATGAATTGTGAGTAGTTTAATTAGGGATTTGGGGTTGATGAAGGGGTTAATCATGATTGATGGCTAGATTCTTTTCGGTTTAATTGCATGAATGCCGTTTAATTTGTGTTTGAATAATTTAATTGATATCTTTTGTAACCTGAAACCGCGGCTAGAATTACAATTGTTTGTAGAATAAATTAAGAGAGATCTAGTTTATTCAGGACACATTCACTCACACTTAATCGTTCGCTAAGAGATTAGTAGCGATTAAGGGGCCGTAAGCTCGCTCGTCTTGGCAATAATTTAGGATCCTGTGTCATGAGAGATCAGCCTGGTCCCCTAAATTATTGTACTCTACGCCGCGAGAGCGGTAAGAACTTAGTAATGATTAGCTAGGCTCAATTAAATTAAACTCATGTAATTAGGCCTGTTCTGCCAGAAATCTGATTACCCCGAAATCAATCCGTGTTCCCTTTGTCGTTAATTAGAAAGAAACCAAACATTTATTTTATTCGCTTATTCGCATTAGTTTAATTTAATTTTTATTCAATCAATCAATCTCGCACACTTGCATTTTATTTTATTTTATTTTTATTCGCTGAATTTAGTTAATCTTTAATTCCCTTTTGTCCGTCCCTGTGGAGACGATACTCGTACTTTCAACCACTTTACTACATCATTTTTAAGTGCGAGAAAACTCACATCAAACTCGTAGGATCAAAAGTGGAATTTATTCAACATTCAATTGAGTCCATTTGCAAGTTACTTGCCATCAGTTGGTACCCGCTGACGTGGCAGCCCAATCAGCAGTGACTTTGCTGACGTGGCACACGTGTGGATGTCCGGTCAGCCATTTGCTGATGATGTGGCACACACGTGGATCGCCACGTGTGCACCATGTCAGTGGTTGACTTGCTGACATGATTAGTAGCCTGTTAATAACTCAATTGAACGTCATTACAAAGTTCAAGGATGTGATTGATTTTTTAAAAAGTACGAGAACCTAATTGACTTTTTGTAATAATATGATGACCAAATTAACATTTTTCTGTAATAAAAACTTTCTAAAGTAGGAGTAATGAGTCATATTTTACGAAGGAAAAATGCTTTAGGTACACGTTTTGTGTACACATGTCTGTCCTTCACAGACAAATTGTATGTCACGGACAAATTGTCTGTCACAGACAATTTGTCAGTGAAGGACAGACATGTGTACACAAAACGTGTACCTCTAGCAAAACCCTTTACGAAGAACCTCCTTCATATACTGTCGCCAATTCAAATAGTTTTCTGGTAATGATTAAGCAGTATCAAAGTGGTTACTACTAATAGTTATTGAAAAAACAAATTACAGAAAATGCGAAACATTAATGATTATTGAAAACAACATTAATGAAAATGGCATGAACAGAATAGTTTTAAGAACAAATAACAGCATTTTACAAAAAAGAAAGAAAGAACAAATTACAGAAAATGCGAAACATGAAGAGAGTTCATAAAAATTCATCAACTACGAATTTTGGACCACATTCACCTGGTTCATGAGCATAAACATCCCAGATATCTCTTCCTCTCTCATTAGCTAAAGAACCCCCTTCATACTGCAGCCAAACATTAACTTTAATGAATGCTGGTAATTAAGGAAACAACATTATATACATGGGCCAGTTATGTTTCTTGCCCCTACTTATATTGGGTTGTGAAGATAAACTTGTAGAATTGATTCATACCTAAGGTCATTACTCATTAGTCTCATTAATTATTTATTAGGTAGAAGTGCAATTTTAGTTCCGTAACTTTCAACTCTAACCATTATTAGTCTTGTAACTTTACTCAGTTGCAAATTTAGTCCTGCAACTAATAAATCTTTCAATTGAAGGACTCTATCGTCAAAAAACAAACTTTCAAGCCGTAAATTCACCGTAAAAGATGTCTCCGGCGTCGAATTTTCTGCTGGAAAATATACTTTCTAATGGAAAAGTTCTTAAATTACAAATATTTTTGACTAAAATTGCAATTTTGGACTAAAATTGCAATTATTAGCGCTGCAACATTGATCATTTATAGATCTCCAACAACTAATAAATTTGTTCCCAATTAAGGTCACCCAAATGTACTATTTTTGACTAAAAACTCCATATCGGGCACCTTTTAGGGTGCACTTTTTCGTGGATGGTATATATATTCTGAAGGAGAAGTTATTAATATGCACATACTATTTGTTAAGAGATAGAATGTGCCTGTAAGTAATTAAATTAAAGGTGCTAGACTATTAGGATGTTTTTACTTAGGACTGTAATTGCTGGTCTGGTCTGTTTAAGTCTAGTCTGGTCTGGTCTGTTTAAGTCTGGTCTGCTCTGGTCTGCTCTGGTCTGTTTGAGTCTGATCTGTTCTGTTTAAGTTTGGTCTGATTTGGTCTGTTTAAGATTCTTTTTTGGCATTATTGACATTTCACTTGAAGTCCTCTTCTTTTGTACTACGGAAGTACGGAGTATATGGGCGTGTTTGACATTTAGTGGTTAGTGGTTAGCAGGTTATGTTAGCGGGTTGACATTAACGAATTCAGTCGATCAGCGAGTATGATTAGCGGAATAAATTGGCGGGTTGTCAGAAGATGTATGGTTATTTAGTTGTTGGACCATAAAATTGGTTGAAAAGATCATTTTTCAAAACGCCAACCCAAAACTCTCCAATTAGCAGCATTTTCATTTCAGCGTTTCCGTCCAAAAAAACGCTGGTGCCGAACAGCTATTTACCAAACAACTTTTTCACTTATTGAAAATGCTAAAAGTGACCTGGTCAAACCGTCATTTTTCGGCTCAAATGCCGTTGACCAAACACCCCTATGTAGAATTGAAGTCCTTCGGACCCTTGGTCGTGATTGTAAACAATTTTAGTTGAGATTGTTGAGTAATGCGTTATGCATATTATATTATATATACTCCTTATTACTCCGTATACATTAGTAAGTACATATTATGATCAGTATGAAATGAATATATACATTAGTATTACATACTAGTAATTAATATGGAGATGAAATGATGAATGAAAGTATGAAACGATTAAACAATAAATGAAAAGGTTCGATCTAATGTCCAATATGATGATCAGTACTTTAGACGATTAAATGCATGGATTAAAAAAAAGGATGTGAGATACGTAGTAAATGATTAACCCAACTGAATTATAGGGGTTAATTACAATATACTAATACTTCCTTTATTCAAAATAATTGTTTCTCTTTTCATTTCGGGGTCGTTGTTCCAAATAAGAGGCCGTTTGGCAGCACTGTTTTTTGGCTTATCAGGCTTATCTGCCAACTTTTTCACCAAACAAGTAATTTTTACTTTCGCGCGCTGAGTTGTGTAATAAGCAGAAAAAGTAAGGTTGGAGTTACTTCTCTGGCTGTTTTGGCTGAAGTTACTGTAGATGACCATTTTAGCTATTTTTACATATAATTTTCTCTTTATTTTATTAATAAAATATATTTTAAAAATAATTGTTTCTTAAATCAGCAGAATCAGCCAATGCAGCCACTTTAGCCAGAACTTCAGAAATTTCAGCAGAAGCAGCCAAAACGGCCGATTTTCGTGCTACCAAACGGGCTCTAAATCGTCACATTTAATATCCTGTTTCGTTGGAAAAGAATTCACTCCATAAGCATATAGTTACAATATACGAGTAGTTTAATAAAGCGTACCAAAACCTGTTGTTTTTTGTGAAATGTACAATATACCTATAAACATTAATGAAAATGCTATGGAGACAGTTATTTTAGAACGGAGCGAGTATCAACCAAATGGCGGACTCTTTTTGTCATTGATGGTAATTATTACGGAGTATATTAGAAATTTGGAAATGAAAAAAGAAAAGAGGAACCTGATAAGCAGATGAAGCAGTCCCAAAAAAGAAGTCTGGCGGGAAGGAAGATGAAGAGGGAGTCTTAAGATTAGCAGACTCTGTAAGTGGAGAGAGCAAAGGCAATAGCAACAATAATGGGAATGGGAGAGCTTTTGCAAGTCTACCGCTCTTCACCATCGTCCAATTCATTGATTAGTTAGTGTGATTAATTATGAAACTATATATACTTTCTCCAATCCGCTTATTGGTGCATGCATACTTGAATTGTGTACATTTATATAGGGAGTAGTACTTTTTTTTACCCGAGTTAGTTTTTACTATCTCCGTAGAGATATATCTTCATATGTGAAAGTAAGTGAGATTAAGAATAGTGAAATGATCTGAGATATTACGTATAAATTATTGAGGGTATGGTAAGAACATAATGAAATAGTGTGCTGGATTAGAGGATAAATTCAAAAAAATAGTTGTAATAGTGTATTATTTTTAAAATTATTGAGGGTATGATGGGAAGCTTTTGAAATAGGAAAATATAAATGTTACAGCTAAAATATGAAAGTGAGAAGATATGAGCATTACAGAGGGAGTATTTATTATTGTTTTCTAACTTTCTTATTTCTTATTCGGATATTCCAACATTAACTTCTTAGTTTACTCCCTTCGTCCCTTAAAATTTTGTCAAGTTTGACCAGCACAAGGAATAATAAAGTAAAAACTGTGTAGTTAAGGTTTGCGCAGAGGAGAGAGGATTAACTAGAAGAGATATTACCCAAAATGAGACTAAAAAAGTTTGGAAATTCCAAAATAGGACTTCCATGTTTTTATTCCCAAAATAGGACTAATTACTGTCATGTTTTGGCAATACCAGACTTCAAAGATGGCAGTATTTTCCAAATTTGGCAGTAATTAGTCCTATTTTGGGAATAAAAACATGACAGTCATATTTTGGAATTTTCAAACTTTTTTAGTCCCATTTCGGGAACTTTCCCTAACTAGAATCACAAATTCTTTACTTAAAAGAGAAAGTGATAAAGTTAGTGGGACATTCAAAATATGAAAGTTGACAAAGTTTTAAGGGGTGGAGGAAATATTATTTCTAATTTTGGTAAGCTTTTGATGTGAAAGTACCTTTTTGTCCGCTACTTTAGTGTTCATTTACCTCCTTCACTTTATTTGGGCCACTATTTTCTTTTACTTTATCAAGGGTGATTTTTAAAAGTCTTACTTTTTTCTACCTAAAAGTCAATGAAATCAAACTATCAAGTTAAAATTTGGAGATGAGGGGAGTATGCAGGCAACATGAGTAGTACGTTGTCTATTGTTCATTTGGTTGGAGGTGAATCTGGCATGAAAAAAGATTGGGATACACACAATTTGAAAAAAGATTGGGGTACCCCTAGCTCCACCCATCTGGCATAGCTTCATCCAAATTTGGATCTGAGATGTGAGATGTCAAAAAAAAGTAATTTGATGACAAACTGCCCAAAAAGTGATACAAACTGCCCATTATTGTAAATGTTACGGATGGTACGATGGCGCAGTATTCATTATTGTAAACTGCCCAAATACGAGGAGTTTAATAAATTATTATACGGAGTACCAAATGCCGAGCAACTTTAATATTGTACGGAGGATCAAATACAAGTGATTTTGCTCCTTGTCTTTGGTTCTCGAACGACGATAGTTTTATTGTGTAAAAAACTACTCCTTCCGTCCCTAATAACTTTGTCAAGTTTGATTGACATGAGGATTAATAAAGTAAAAATTGTGTGATTGAAGTTTGTGTAGAGGAGAGAATTAATTGACACCACAATTTTTTTTACTTAAAACGGAAAATGACAAAGTTAATGGGACATCCTAAAAAGGAAAATTAACAAAGTTATAAGGGACGGAGGGAGTATGTTGATATTTTAGGCGTGTTTGACATTTAACGGTTATCAATTATCGAATAACGAGTTATGTTAGTGAGTTGTCAAAAGCAAATTCAGTCAGTAGGATTAACTTGCAGAATAATTTGGTGTGTTGTCAGAAGGTGTTTGGTAGTTTAGCTATTTCACCATAAAATTATTAGAAAACGTCATATTTCAAAACGTTAATCCAAAACTCTCATACTTGTAGCGTTTCCATTTTAGCGTTTTCGTCCAAACACGCTAGTGTTGAACAACTATTTACCAAATAGCCTTTTCACTTATTGAAAACGCTAAGAATGGTCAAATCGTTATTTTTCGGATGATACACCATTTACCAAACACCCCAAAAAGATGCATTACCTAAACTTATTTAGATTCTTTTGAAAGAAAAACTAGACTTCTATTAAAATATCAAATGATTCAAGAGTTACAATCAACCAATAGCTCCAAAACCACAACCTATGCTTCAACAAACTGCATCTGGACTCAAGAGGCGCCTTACGATCGGATTCTGAGACGGCCACCTCCGAAGAAGCAACACAAATGGCTAACCACCAAATAAGCTACACAGAGTTCTTATAGACCTTTAAGGTCATCCATACTCTGAACATATGAAAGTTTCAAGGCAATTACTCTTGTTAATAACTAAATTAGACATCTTAAACCTACCACGAACACAAACAATCCAAGAGCCAGATAAACTATCTAACGAAAGAAAAATAAAACTCAAAATAAAAATAAAGCAAACTTGAATCTTCTTTTTCCAAATCGCCCTAGACACACGTTCACTCCATGGCGATGGTTCAGGACGAGATCGGGTCATCAGTCCCGGGTCCACTCAACCCCTCAACCACAGTGACGTCGCCAAAGCCCACCTTCTTGTTTGCAGCCGCACGCCCTCTTACAGAGGGAACCAGTCCACCAGCCGAGCTCCGCCTCAACCCTGCATCTTACTCTTCCATTCTTCCTTTCCATTGCAATCACAAGAAGAAAATAGCTGATCAAAATCTAGCCACACCAACGAAATAGATCGCGGCAACAAAACCCTATTGCAGACAAGTTGTGCCTTCTGGCAATCCAAAAAATTTGCCCGACTTTGCTTCAAAGTCGTCACTGTTCGTGTGATTAAATGCCTGAAAACTATGAACTAGCCAAACAATCTATAAACAATTTACTATACAGCTAAAACCAAAAATGAATTTGGATTAAAGCCAAGGCCACACGATTGGATTCAGCGGATGAAAACCCGCATGATTGGATTCGGTGAATGAAAAAAACCCTACGCAGCACTTGCGAGGGAGAGAAACCTGGAGTAATATTTTAATCAAAACTTAACCCATTACAAATCCTAATTTAGGCATTAACATTAATTGCTAATAATAAAATCTAATAATTTGAGCATATATATAAACCCATTTGAATTACTTAATACTTAAATATAACTAAATTATAAAAAATTTAAGTAATTTAACACTACATTTAAATTAATCCTACATTTAACTAATTTTAACTAATTCATTTCGTTAATTAATTAACAACCTTTTTATACACATTTCAATTAACTAATATTTAAATTTAACTAATATTATCCAAAGCTACACTAATTTAACTAATTAGTTTAACTTAATTAGTTAAAACCTACGTTTAGCTAACTAATTTTACTTAATTTAACTTAATGCATCACTACGTTTAAACCTACGTCTAGCTAATTAATGTTACTTAATTTAACTTAATGCATCACTACGTTTGTACCTACTTTAGCTAACTAATTTTAATTAAATTATTTTATAAACCTAAAAATTTAACTAATTTTATGACATCACTACATTTATAGTTAAATATACTGTTAATTAATTAACAACCTCACTATTTTAATAGTTTTAATTATTTAAATTGAACCAACTAATTCTAAATAAAAAGAATTCAAATAACATACCTTATCTGCATAAACAGGGAAAATGACATAAGATAGACTACATCCTTCGATCTTTCAAACAGATACTGTATTATATATACTGGGAATGAATTGGTGTGGTTCTGTTGAATAAACTGGGCATGCATATATAAAAATCCTAGTCACGGACAGGGGCGGATCTACCTTATTAGTAGTGGGGGCACATGCCCCCAACAACTTTTGATTTAGTAGAATGAATATATATGAGTTTATGTAATTTATTTCAAATAGGAGGAATTTGCCCCCCAATAATTTTTATTATATGCCCCCAATAATTTTATTATTTGCCCCATTGTTAAAAGATAAGTTATACATGTGATTAAATCTGTATTATGTTTATGGGAAATGATACTAATTAATCTGTCTGGATAATGAGATACTTTATGGAGATAAATTAGACCTAAAGACCTCAATCTAAATTTACAAATGAAAGTTTAGTTATGTACGTACTCTCATACAGCGGCGTAGTTAATTAAGGGGAGGCATATTAGGGCCTACTCCGCATTCGGTAAAAACACTAATTTTATGTATAAGGAATTGTGAAATTTTTTATATGAAAAAAACTTTTACCGGCCCAAAACAATGTATCTAATCTCCTGGCTACAACACTATACTCCTCTTAGCTACACACTTCTCCATAAATTTTCTATTATAGATATTTCACGAAAGATACTGAGTAGAATAAACTCATTTAATATGTAAATAACTTGGTAATGATAATTAATAATGAGCTGACGACGTTTTGCTAGACCATCTAAACAAAAGGTACAATGTGTAAATTAAATGTGACAACAATGTCTAAGATTGAATCTGTTACTCCGTACAAAATATGGGGGAAATCACAGAGTATTATTTTAGAGCCCGTTTGGTAGCAAAAAAATTGACTGATTTGGCTAATTCTGCTGAAACTTATGAAGTTCTGGCTGAAGTGGCTGAAGTGGCTGATTCTGCTGATTTGAGAGAAAATTATTTTTAAAGTATACTAGCATTTCATTAATGAAATAAAGAAAAAAATTATGTAAAAATAGTTAAAATGATCATATATAGTAACTTCAGCCAATACAACCAGAAAAGTAACTCCAACCTTACTTTTTCTGCTTATTACACAATTCAACGCTCGAAAGCAAAAATTACGTGTTTGGTGAAAAAGTTGGCTGATAAGCCTAATAAGCTGAAAAACAGTGTTGCCAAACGGCCTCTTAAGTTTAGGTAAGTATGCCCCCAATTAACTTTATTTCTGGATCCGCCACTGGTCACGGACTTAGTCACGGATGTGTCCGTGACTAAGCCATTCCGTGTGAATTGCTTTAAGGTAAATGACAGATTGCCAAATAAACTATCCAAGCTTTAAGGTACTAGTGTTTGAAGGTTTAATTATAATAACTTCCTGTTCAATGTTTAATTTGAACAGGAAG